TTAGAAGAGTATAAAAGTCTCTCTTTAACAAACGCGTTTTAAGACCGTAAGGCTGACCGCGATACATAACGGGCTAAAACGGATAATATCAGCTAACGGTGAGCTTAGACTATTACAAATGGTATCAAGTTTGGTTGTCATACGATGCCAGGCACTTGTTGGAGTAGGGCTATACTCTTTCCTTAGTAGATACATAACAGACCAAAGTAGTATCAGGTCCACTTACTGGACAATGCGAGACAGTAGTTAGAGTAGGGCTAGACTTTCTCCATAGTAAACACGTTTTAAAACTATGAAGTTAACGACGATGCGTAAATGGACCAAAGCATATAATATGTAGTAGCAGTGGACTTAGACTGTTAAATCGTGAGTTTTATTTTTGAATACTCAGTTTCATATCATGCTTTGTTGGAAACAAAACCAAATCATACTCAATTGCATCATATGCATCAATTTGTAATATGATCATAAAAGTGATTGAACGGGTGTACAGATAAGATATTTTTAAAAGATACTCAGACTCGAGATTTAACCTATTCATCGAGAAGATATATTTTATATCAATTGAGTTATGTTGATGTTGACTTAAAAGCATCGGTTTTCAAACATGGAATATGGGGAGAAAAGAATCCATACAGGTTTGTTGATGAAATGGAGGCATATCGAGGGATTGATGGAGAAGAATAAAGAGATGAAAGAAGGAATTTTGGTGAATATTTTAAAGGAGTTTTGTGGCAGAGACTTTTTAAATATACGTTTGTGGAATAATTGGGAGTAAATGCAAGAAGGTATGTAGCCATAATATTTTAATTCAATTTGATTGTTTAATGCTACATTTTATAATGTTTTAAAGTTTATTGTAAATATGGGGACCCATTTTGCGATGGAATGAGAATATGTAAATTTGGAAAGTAATAAAATAACAGAGACTTGGGTTTCGGTTTGAGACAATTTGATTAAATAAGGGGTAAAATCAATCTTGTGTCATTAGTTGATGTCTTTTTTTAATTATGTTTTTTCCTTTATTTAAGGTATGTTTCTCGTTTAGGGCACTCTACTACTTTATGGGCACCCATTGGCTTGATCGTACTGTTTTGAGTGTCAAATTCAAATTCTAAATTCTGATCTAAATCTAAATTACACTCGTGTTAGGAATTGGGATTCTCCACAATCGTATGAAGCATGAGCTCTCATGGCCTTGCTTTGAGCTTCTTCAAAATACCTCATACGAATGGAGATGTATTCCTTTACTTATAAACTCACGATCATTCTCTCAATTAGCAAATGTGGGACTCACTCCCCTCGAACAAATGAGGCTTATGAAGCTCTCGAATAGCCTCCCCTTAATCGAGGCTCGACTCCTTTCTTTGGAGCCCTCGAACAAAGTACACTATTTGTTCGACACTTTAGTCACTTTTGAGTACACCTTCGAGACTCACGATTCTTTGTTCGATATTTGAGGATTCTATTGACATGACTAAGAATAGAGCATGACTCTAATACCATGTTAGGAATCACGACTCTCCACAATAGTATGATAGACTAAATAAAGATATGGTTTATTAGCATATAAATTAAATAATTCATTTTGGGTTCTTTCTAATTATTGGAAACACCATGGAGTAGTCGCAGGCATTTGTCTCATGATTAAGATCTCTTTGCGGCCAAATTCATTGAATTACATTTTCTTTCATCAACACATTTATTTTTTGTTCAACCTCTTCTTAACACCATGGATAAGATAGCTAATTATTCCAATGTGGAACCACCTAATCCACTTGCACCTAAAATCAAACACATCTCTCTTACCTTCATCCAATCAACAAATGGCATCTATTCTAACTCAAAAATGAAGTCTATCGTCACAAATCAACACGAGTCTTTCTAATATACTTTGTCCTTAATGACATGCATCTTAATAAAATTCTTAGAAGATCACTCAACACACAATTGTTTCTATGATTGAACCACTAAAAAGAAAAATGCACATTATTAGTATACATATGACTTTCAATTCTTCTGAGCATTTCTTAATCATATAGATATAGTCTCGATTCATTCATATAATATTCAAGTGTTTAAAAAACAAAGTTACTATGGTCCATCATGAGTTATTTTGAAAAGACATTTTTGATGCATATGTTTATATACAAGGTGGCTGAGTGGCGGTGGCAAACGGCATACGAATTAATATGAAAAAAGTGGCAACTTGGGATGCTGATTTGGACATAATATATGACATGCAAACCCTTTGACTGCTCCCTTTTCTGCTTACTTTTTATGGTCATTCCCAAAAGCTTAATCATTACTTCCTTTTAAAGCTTGATGATTGATATGCGTCTCAAATGCATGCACGATTGCTATAATAAGTTGTATGGGAGGGAAATTTGATGACCCAATTAAAATATTTAAAATTCATGAATTAATTCTTTATGAATATGTGGGTCTTCCCAATTTAGATCCAGCTATGGCTATACTTTTTAAGGAAACTAGGCTAGATGTATACAGATGCCAAAGGGCTTGGGGCTGTTCTTGACCCAAGCCCTAGCTAGTGGGCTTAAACTACTACTGATTGGGCTGTCAATAGATACCCATCCAATTTGTTGAGGCTCATGGTCATGTTGAGGCATGTCATTGAAGGGAGTGACATGCCTATTAGGGTAAAACAGTGAACTTCATATTTGCTTGTCGAACACACTTCGATTCTGAACTTAGCTAAAATTAGGGTTTTGTGAGCTACCTTAAATGCGCATCTTTCATTTCCATTTCTATGAAGCTGAATTAAGGTTATTTATGGAGAGGCACATGTTTGGTGGAACCAAATTAGTCTATTCACATCAAGTCGAACTCTAAGTTGGACGGGATGTTGGATCCTCGGCTCGGCTAAGCTTGGCTTAAGTTGGCCTCACGACTTTAATGTATTTTGGGTTCAATTTCATGTTCATTTCATCGATAAATTTTTTTTTTCTAAAAAATCAATCTTGTATTATAAAAACAAATAAACAAAAATAATCATGTTATACTGAAATGAGATTTCAAATAGAATCTTTCTACTTTGTCACGCAACTCATTTTCAAGTTTCACATTCAATTTTTTCTCTTATACAACGCGTCTCTTTTCCATCTTTTTCAATACGTGTTACAAACTTGTCCTTCGTTTATTTATTTTGATATTAAAACCTCTTTAATAGTTATTGAAAGAGATAGTTGAATCTATTGAATCATTATAAATATGAAAGAAAATGTGGGGACTAGATAACGATTTTAGTAAGAAAAGCACATAAATATCCTCCTTCATAACAATACATATCAGTGTTACACAAACTAATATCTCACAAGACGGTAACACAATAGAGATTAAACCAGCTAAACCAAAAATATAATATAATTTATATTTCTTGAAATGGTAATTAAAACTAATAATTTAAATTATTTTAACTTGGAAGTTAAAAAAGAAAAACATTTAGAGATTTATAGTTTATGATATTATATGGTAGAAAAAATGAATATGTAATATAAAAGGTAGTTTATATTAATTTATAATATGAGACAACCTTTCTATATTTTTAATGGGACATCTTTTAATATTAATATTGAAAATCATAGGCATGATCGGATTAGGCAGAACCGTCCGATGAAGAGAAAAAATTGAATCTACCTCAAAATTATACATTTAAATAAATACATAGTGGGAATCCATGAAAATAAATAAAAATTATATTTCTTACACAATTAATTAATTAACTAACTAATGATTTAAGTAAAAACGACACGTGTCAGACATTCCGTGCAATAAGCCACTAACTTTTTTTTTTTTTTTTTAATTTTATGGTCAATATGTTAATAAACAAATACCCAGTTTATTTGAAGAGGATTATAAAACGGCGTCGTTAAAGGCTGCCCATTACCAAACAGTCTCCTGGTTTTGAGCCAATGGGCTAGTGGGAGTAGCAGGCACGTATTATTTATTAGTTAATATTTTAGTGTAGGGCAACCCTACAAGATTTGGGATGCTTTTATTGACTACCTAAATTTATTTACTAATTAATAAAAATTGAATTTTTTTAAAAAAAACTTAAAAAAACATTTTTTTGTCTAATATATTTAGTTGAGTGAGGCGGATTTAAATTTGTATTGTAATATTAAAACAATTTTTAAAGATTTCATCTTTAAACATTATTTATGATATAATAAAAAAGATTTGGCATGATTGACAATTATTATGGGTGAGGTTTTCAAAATTTAAAATACTTTCCACCTCAATGTGCTTTGGTTGAATCATGACGGTTTACGTAATATACCATTTGATTGTCATCGAGTGAATTGTACTAATGTGATACTGGTGTGAATCGTTAGAAACGACGACTTCTTGCAATGGTATGATATTAATTTTTTCGAAAGGTTTCATGTCAATTGAGATATATTCTTTATTTATACACTCGATGTCTCATATCAACTTCTTAATTAGCCGATGTGGAACTCTTTCTCTCCCAACAATCCTCAACAATCTTCCTCTTGAATAAGTACACTATTTGTTCCACACTTAGTCACTTTTGATTATACCTTACATTTGAGAATTTTATTGATACGGATAAGTTAAGCACATGACTCTGATACCATGTTAGGAACCACGACCATCCATAATTGTATGATATTGTGCACTTTGAACACAAGTTGATATGGTTTTACTTTTGATTTTCCGAAAATGTCTCCTACCAATGAAAATAGTGTTATTTACTTATAAACTTATGATTACTCTTCTCAATAATCAAAGTACACCATAGAGTCCCCCTAAGACATCCTTCTCTAGAGCTCGCGAACAACCTCCCTTTAATCGAGATTCGACTCTTTCTCTAGAGCTCTCTGGAACAAAGTACACAATTTATTCGACACTCGAGTCAAATGCAAAATAGTTTGAACAAAATAAAATTTATTGGTTAGTGTAAACTAAGTTGTGCGTGAGGCTTAAGAGGGGCATAGCAAAAGTGTAATAGGGATTGAAATAAAACCCACCATTTGTTTTGACTTTCAACCCCCATTTGCCCACTTATTATTTTCCCCTCGTCTTCTTCTTCAAATTCCTCCAATTTCAGGCCCTTCCTTCAAAATAATTCTCTGTTTTCGTGGGTTTTCCTTCTCTCTAATGGGCTGTGCGATCTCCAAGCAGAAACGATGCCCCCACTGCCGGAACTCCCTGACGCAGAGAACCAACTCTCTTCATCCCCACCAATCGCCGCCCCGGCACTCCGATGGCTACCATGTCCTTGCCTTCTCCTCCTCCACTCTTGGCTCTCTCAAGCTCGAAAACATTCACTTCGACAACAAAATCTACACCACCGTTGATGAGCCTCTCCAACCCAAAAATAACGAGACCAAGAACCAGGTTTCAATGGGCCTAATTGACGCCAAAACTTGGTCCAACATGATCAACAAAAAAATTCCCAAAATTCCTCCCAAAACTCCAATCATCACGCCGCCCGGCGAGCCCGAGACCATTAACGTTTGGGAAGTCATGGAAGGCCTCGACGACATTACTCCCTTCCGCTCCACATCTCGGCCCCGAAGCTTCTCCTTCGATCTCAGTACAGCTCCACCATGTGATTCCTCAGAACAAGGAATTTCAAATTCAAATTTGCAGGAATTTGACGATTCCTCCACTTCCCATAAGCCATTCTGCCTTCAAAATACGGGTAATTAATCGCTTTTTTTTGTTTGTTTGGTTCAAAATTCACCTGAATTTCTTCAAACTCTCGTAGTTACAATTCTAAATTGCAATTGTTTGATCGGGGATTTTTCAGAATTGGACACTGAAGTGATATCTTCAATCCGGAGATCGTTAGAGGAGCATCCACCGGAGGAGGAAACTTCGGCGGAAACAGTCGCCGGCGACCCTCCAGAGGGCAAAAACAGAGAGAAAGTGGTGGTGTACTTCACGAGCCTAAGAGGGGTTCGGAAGACATACGAGGACTGCTGCGACGTGAGAATGATTTTGAAATCAATGGGAGCTCGAGTGGACGAACGGGACGTGTCGATGGATTCCGGGTTCAAACAGGAGCTAAAGGAGCTGCTGGGAGAAGGGTTCAACGGCGGCGGATATCCGAGAGTGTTCGTCGGAGCAACATACATTGGTGGGGCAGAGGAAATTCGGCGACTTCATGAAGATGGGGAGCTGGAGAAGATTTTAGAAGGGTGCGAGAAAGTGGAGGAGGGCGGCGGGGGCGACGGAGGAGGATGCTGTGAGGGTTGTGGGGATGTGAGGTTTGTGCCATGTGAGACATGCTGTGGAAGCTGTAAAATTTACTGCGAAGAAGGTGAAGAGGAGGAGGAGGAAGAAGAAGAAGAGGGTGGATTTCAGCGGTGTCCTGATTGTAACGAAAATGGGTTAATTCGGTGTCCAATTTGTTGTGGTTAATGTAATTCAAAGGAATTTTTGTTTCCTTTAAATTTGTGTTTTCTGTTTGGATTGTTTGTTGTACAGTGAAGAGATTTGGTTTGTCTGGCGAGCGTTGAGATTGGATGTAATATTTTTCAACACATACATAACAAAAAAAACAGCATTATTTATGAACGGCTGTTCTTTTTCTTTTGGTATCGGGAGCTTTGAGAGATGGGAAACAAAATATTTTTTATAAGGGCTTGTAAATCTCTTTCTAACACACATGTTTTAAAATTTTTGAGAGAAAACTCAAAAGGAAAAGTTCAAAGAAGATGATATCTACTACCGATAGGCTTGAGCTATTGCGAATGGTATCAGAGCTAGATATCGGGCTCCCAGCAGGAAGACACGGGGCGGTGTGCTAGCGAGGACGTTGAGCCTCGAAAGAGAACGGGTTGTGAGATCCCACATCGATTGAAGACAAAAATGAACATTATTTATAAGGGTGTGGAAACATTTTCTTGGCATACGCATTTTAAAAATCTTGGAGAGAAATCCAAAAAGAAAAAACCCAAAAAGATAATCTCTACTGACGATGATCTTGAGGTATTACATTTTTTCTTAATCATCCTATCTTTACGATCACTCTAGTCAATTGTGAACGGGAACAGTGAACGCTCATATTGGAGGGTTGAGGAAACAAACAATGAGAAGCTGAAACTCCCTCCATTTGCTTTCATTTGGACTCATTCATAACTCCAAGCTACACACTAATTCTTTGTTTGATAGCAAATATCCTCTCTAAGAAGAATAATTTAATATGCCCACTCATTTTTATCCATATGGTCCTTATTGTATCAACAAACAATATTATATTAATATACTTATGGTTTAAATTGATGTAATTGATATAACTTCTTATAATAAATTGTAATATACCAAATAGGAGCATCCAAGAAGTGATTCAAAGCTTTCCCATCAAATCAATGCAAATTTGCGGATGACAATCAAAAGTTTTATTTTCAATCATCATTTTTTTTCATATGAAGTTTCTATGATTGAGTCGCTGAAAATAAAAGTGCACTCTTATTGGTATAGGTACACAATTAAGAGTTGAGATACTTACTAGACATTTATAAAGTTTAGAGACCTGAATGATCTTATTTGCCATTTAACATGAAACCAACATAGAACAAATCATTCACATGTTTCAACCATATTTACCCGAGCCAGATTACAGACCATGGGAATGATTACTTGTAATCATACCAAGCTGCACATCAAGAGTCTGAGTTTCAGTGACAAACATTTATGTATTTTCATGATGGAGGTAAAGAATGAGACTTATTTCTGTTGGTTTGAATCAAAGTTTTGTTATTCCTTTACTGTTCCTCGTACCTACTTCAGCTGCAGCCTTAGAAGCACGGCTCAACATATTTGAAACCCAAAGCGCGCCCTTTGAAAAGTAACTGCTGTTTACTACAGCCGTACCTGCAGCCATCGCCGCTTTCCCTGCCACCCCCATTGCCACCACGGCTGCCGTGCCAGTAACCATTGCAGTCGATCTGGTGATATCGGAAACGTGATACTTCTCATCGATGTATTTAACAGTTTCCATGCCGGTATGAATTGCATCAGTGAGTCCAATCCTGTTGCTAAGCTCAGAAACTTTGGCTGCTGCAGAAGCTGAGACTTGACAAGAATCATCAAAAGCTTTAGCCTTTACAAGTGCATCTTTGGTTAAAACATATCCCTTTGATAGCATTGTTTTGACAACTTGTTGAGCCACGGTTACAGCCTCCCCTGGTGTGTATGCAGAATGCATGATTTCTGCAACCTGTTTTTTTCATACAGAAATTTTAGAGATCAATTCAAAATATTGTGTATGAACGGAGCGTGGTTGACTTCGACTCGATATCTAGTGGTCATTAAGAGACAAAGATTTTGAACTCGTATTCAATGGTTATTAGCTTACCATTGGGCTCGTATTGTCGTTGGTCATTTGTGAAGGGCTGTTCCAGTTGTATGATTCATCTGTGTATGTTCCCCACCGGCCTATGAACACACATTGATCTAAGATTTCAGCCCCCTGGAACACCAAAATCAGCAAATGAACTGCATTACGAAAGCTCAGAAGTGATGCTTGAAGATGAATACTTGGGACCTTTGTGTAAAAAAAACTGTTGGGTGCATGGCATCAACAACTTATAAGAGTTGCAAGATTATATATCCACTAGCCATGTTATGGGAGTGCTTGAAAGTCTAAATGGAATAATTTAAATGATTTTGTGAGATCCCACGTCGGTTAGAGAGGAGAACGAAACATTATTTATAAGGGTGTGAAAAGCTCTCACTAGCGAATGCATTTTAAAACCTTGAGGCAAAGCCTAAAGAGGACAAAATCTACTAGCGATGAGCTTGGGCTCTTACAAAGGGTATCAGAGCCAGATACTAGGTTATATGTCAGCGAGGAGGCTGAGCCCCGAAGAAGGGTGGACACAAGGTGGTGTGTCAGCAAGGACGCTGGGCTTTAAAGGGGGGTGGATTGGGGTGTCTCACATCGATTGGAGAAGGGAACGAGTGTCAGTGAGAATGTTGGGTCCTGAAGGAGGGTGAATTGTGAATCTCACATCGGTTGGGGAGGAGAACAAAACTTTTATAAAGGTGTGGAAACCTCTCCTTAGTAGATGCGTTTTAAAATCTTAATGGGAAGCCCAAATGGGAAAGCATAAAGAAGACAATCCGCTAGCGGTAGACTTGGGATGCTACCGATTTAAGTGATTGCACAATGAGTAATCAACTCTCAACTAGTGCTAGAGAAACTTAAATGTGTTGAAAAAGAAGCTAGAGCCTTATGCCCAAGCCCATCACTAGTAGATATTGTCAGCTTCAGCCCGTTATATATCGCCGTCACCCTTTATAAGGAATGGGGTGGCTAGAGCTCAAACCCACTAATAGTAAATATTGTCCTCTTTGGACTTTCCGTTTCAAGCTTACTCCAAGATTTTTAAAACGCATCTGCAAGTGAAAGGTTTTCCCACCCTTATAAAAAATGTTTCATTATCCTATTTAACCGATGTGGGATCTCACAATTCATCCCTTTTAGGGCCCAACGTCCTCGCTGAGACTCGTTCCCCTCCCCAATCGATGTCGTTTCTCTCTTCAATCGACGTGGGATCTCATAATTCACCCCTTCGGTGTCCAGTGTCCTCGTAGGCACACCACCCGATGTCACCCCCTTCAGGGCTCACAGTTTTAAAACGCGTCTTTCAGGGAGACGTTTTCACACACTTATACGGAATGTTCCATCCCCTCTCTAATCGATGGGGAATCTCACATTTATAGAATCTAAAAAAATGAAATCTTAAGGTCTTATATCTATATTTCATTCAAATAATTCGCAAGCATCTCTAACCAGACGGTCACTCGAAAAACGTATGCCTAACAACTCCATATGACAACCTATACAAAATGGCTCCTCCTTCTCCCCCTCCTCCTCCGCTCACCCTAAAGAGTGTATTTGGGCGTTTAACATACATCACCGAAACAAATTCAAGTGAGCAAGCCAGTAGATGAGCACTCTACACAAATCTATGAACGACAAAGTAAAAAGCAGAGGAACCAACCATTGCAAAACGAAAGAGCACAGAGAATTCTCAAGTTGAGCAAAATCAAACAACACTCAAGAACTTACACTAAGCAATATAGCAGTTTCCAGAGCAAAAGCATCACGGAAAGTCACATAAGCAGTACACGCATAATCACCCGACCTGTTATTGTAAAAGAAAAAATGGTTTCAAAGCTTTTGATTAGCAAACCCAGTTTCAATTAATGTTGTATTCACCTGAGGATTTCTACATGATCCACCGCGCCACAATGGGAGAAAAAATCATAAACATCATTCTCTGTGGCTTTAGGTGACAAACTTGTAACTTCAGCAGCATAGCCCCCAGAGTACATTGTTCCACCCAGCTCTATATGTGGAACTCAAAAACAATGAACAGCGCAAGAGATTCCCTGAATTGTTTAGCAAAGGGGTAACGAAAAAAAGGTGAATTACAAGGAAGAACAACTCGAATTCAACAAAAAAGATGAAAAATTAGAGGAATTTTGCCAAAGTTAATCCACAGACACAACCCAGATCTTGAAATGGAAACCTAAAACAAACCCATAAGCCAAAACAACGGAAGGAAGAGATAAATGATGAAAATCAGTATGGAAACCGACGGAAAAGTAAAAAAGATTTGAAGTTTTGCTATGGCGTACCTGTTAGAAGCTCTGAGAGAAGAAGACGAGAGGGGGCCGAGCTGAAATCTGAAATCTGAAAACTTAGCCGACATTTTTTTTTTTTTTTTTTTTGCGTCAGTTTTGGTAGCTGATGGTACTGAACTTTGTGATGAACCGATTCCATTTTCACGAAGGGCGCGTGTAAAACACGAAATATTCGGATTGGGGGGTGTGGAATATTGTGGTGGAAGGAGCGTGGCGTGGAATGAAGTCTTATCTTCTCCGTTTGGGAGTTTTTCTGTTGGCAGAGAATCCCGCATCATCTAACTCTGTAGCTCTGAGCTCGAACTCTGGGATTAGATACGGCACCGTTTTGGAACGGAATACGGAAATTCGATCGTCCATGCGTGTGTACTTAATCAATTATCTTGGTCCAAGAAAACTTATTTTATGTTAATTTAATTAATTGATTATTAATTTATCATCTAATTTTATGCCGTAGTTTCGAAAATATTTTTTAAAATTATATATATATTTAAAGTCTAAGCCAATTTTGTCGACTCAGCGAAATCAAACCATTTCCGGTGATAGCTAAAATTTGAGCTCCTTTTTGATACTGAAGAAAACGGAGAGATGAAGGAGAGGGAAAGCTTAACACCAGCAGTGAAGGAAACAGATTCATAATCCCAACGAAGGTAGGAAGATGACGGAGAAGATTTTTGGACCTAATTAAGTTTTCTTTTTTCTTTATTTGAAAATATATTTAGCGATGTGATCATGATGTTGATGCTAAAATCAACATTTTAACGATACACGACCAGCACATCACTATAACTTTTTAGTGATGTTGATTTTCATTGCATGTCACTAGCATTGAGCCACAAAAAAGAAGGTACAACTGATTCAGATATGACTTTAGTTAATTCATATACCTCTTATTTATTCGGGAGTCATAATTGGAATATTAACCATTAACATCTCAATTATTGAAGACGTCAGACATTAATAAAAACAAATGGCATACCATTAACAAAATAACGCGTCCCTCACATGCATAAACACAAATCATAAAAGTTTATCCTTCAATTGGTTGCATCTGTTAGGGGCATGTGGTAGTTTGGAACATTGAATTATTGAACAAATTTGAGAAGAATAAGGTGATATTAATTAGAGCCGACATTGATTTGTTAATTGTTGTAATAATTTATTGTGTTTCCCTAAAGAAAAGTAGAGAGAATAAAAATTAAAGGGAGAGAAGGAAAAGGCCATCACTTTCATTCCCTCTTTCCCCAACTCCCATTTGGACCTATTTTTCAAACATACCATTAATTTTGAATATGACTTCACATTTCAATCTATATATTATGGCCACCCATACCATATCTTTTTTAATTACTCAAAGTTTATTTAATTTCAAAATATAATTACTAAACTAGTTTATATATATATATATACATATTTAATTGTGTTATGGGCCACAAAGAGCATTAAAAGGGGGAGACAAGTCTTTTACGGATATATATTGTACTTTGTTGAATGATCTAAAATGGTAAAATAGTTTCTTTCAAAAATGTACAACGGTAAAAAGTAAAAAGTTAAAAAAGATTGGTATAAAATAAAATGTAATTAGATAGTAATTTGGATATTATTGTACCACTTTAGTCCGTTGCATATTATTGTACCTCTCATAATTTTAAAACGAATTTACTAAGGAGAGCTTTCCACACCTTTATAAGAAATACTTCGTTCCACTGTTGAATTTCACAACATTATCAACGGAGGTCATACATAAATGATTTAAGAGGGTTGTAGGCCAATGAGAACTCTTATCTTTGAAATTTATGAATGAGATTTCCCTTTTGCATTAATTGTGTGGGAGTTAATGAGAGTGTAAAGTAGAAGCAAGCAAGCAAAGCAAAGCAAACCATGTTGTCCTTGTTAATCAGTTATTGGAGGGCCATGGTAGAATATATGACATATGGGGTTCTATCATACTCATCATTTATTTCATGTCTAAGCCAATTTATTGCTTTTTATATTTCAATATTATAAAATATTGTATGTTATCCCATTTGTGTTCTTCATCTTTTATCTTGATTGCATGCATTGTATTATAAGATTGGTATAATTATTACACACTATTATTAGATATTATCTGTTTTGACTCGTTACGTATCATCGTCATTTTAAAACACATATATTAGGGAGAGGTTTACATACTTTTATAATGAATGTTTCGTTCTTCTCTCCAACCGTCCCTCCGTAACATTTTAGAACCATTAAACTAAACAATTTTATAGAAAGAAAAAGAAAAAGATAATAATGGCATGCATGCGAATATCCCTTCAGTTTGAAGGAAATATATTGTTCAACTTGGAGTTAATTAGTTAGTTTTAAGTTAACCATAATTACTTTACTTTAACTTAATCCCTCCCCCTTTAATTTTGATAGTGGGAAGAAGCCATGAGTCTCCGACAAATCAATCCCCATATTCGATTAATTTCCCTTAATCTTTTAATTAATGAACCCATTAAACTTGATTAATTACATAAAATTAGTTGTGAAAAGATTGTTTAACAGAAGAAATTATATGAATAAATGAAATTCCCCGACACCCAAATTAATGATGTCTAAGCATGCACCACTTTAATTTATTTGCACTCATTTCCAATTAACTAAACTTAGTTTACTTAATTAAATATATAAACCATTAAATGTAACAAATTTAGGATATAGTTTGTGATTTAATTTAGTATGGTATTTTAAATTTATTTCTATAAACTTCTATTTCTTGTCCACCATCAAATTTGCTTATAATAAATCTTCCAAATTTAAATTTATTATTTATAAACATTTTTTTATTCTTCAAAAATAATTTATAAAAACTCTCTTTTTTTTTTTCTTTTTCTTTTCTTTTTAGATGGGAAAAACATCATTAAATACTCAATCATAACAAAATTTAAGTTTTGTTGACCTTAAAAAGCACTCAACAAAATTTAAGATTAAAAAAAAAAAAAAAAAAAAAAAAAAAA